GAGCTAATGACAATGGCGATATAAGATATGAACATAAATATGAATGAACGCCAAAGCACACTCAAACAAGCAATATGATCACGGAGTTCGGACCTTCCGTCCTACGTCTCCGCTCCCCACTCCCGGGGAGAAATCCACTATCACAACCGGGTTTTCTACGCTCACCCGAATAACGTTTACAACCACACTATGTCGGTTTTCAACGATCACCGATCAACGTCCACTTCTCACACTCGGTTTTCTAGTTCACCGAAAACTTCACAACACACTCTCGGTTTTCTAGCTCACCGAAAACCTTACAACACTCACAATGTAACAAATATAAATTTGTTCTCTACAATAGATGAGAACTCAATTAAGCACAACTCAATGTTTACAACTCTCACAACCCTAATATATTATGAATGCAAATACAATAAGCTCAAAGTGGGTGTGTGTAACAATGAGTGAAATCAAAATCAAACTAAACTCAAATATAAAATCTAGCTTAAGAACAATGATAATCAAACAAGTATATAAATGTAAAGCTAGAGTTTGAGTTTAGAAAACTTCTCAATTGATAACAAGAAATAGAGGGAGGATAGTTGGAAGCTCAAACTTCAATAGCTAATCTCCTCAAGCTCTTGTGGTGGAATTTGATTCACCAAAACAAACTCTCAATTTGCTTAAAAGCTTTTTAAACACACTTAAACCAAACTAAAACCCTTGTTAAAAACTTTCTTAAACATGATTAAAAACTCTCTTGGTTAGTTTGAGAGTTGAAGGCAATGGGGTACTTATACCCTCTCTCAACTCAGCCATAAACCTGAGCAAAAGACAAAACACAACCCCAGTCGGTCGACCGAAAAATTCGTCGGTCGACCGAAAATTTTCATCGGTCGACCGGCCCGGTCGAACCGAAAATTTTCATCGGTCGACCGGACCGGTCGACCGACAGGCTTTCTGTCGCCCAGTGAACTTTTGACCTCAGGTTCGGTCGACCGGTACGGTCGACCGAAATCTGATACACTGCAAAACCTGATTTTAAAACTCTGTTTAAAAATATCAAATAAATTCCAAAAAATATAAAACTTTGGGGAATGATTGTAGACATGATAATAAACATGCTACAACGACTGGTTTTGAAAAAGGACTTCCCAAATAAAAAATATCATCATTTTTCAAATATGTTCAAAAACATGAAAACCTGAAAATTGATATTTTGATATTTTGACTTAAACAACATTTTGAAACCTTATGAAATGATTGTATAGACTTGATAAAAGATATAATATGTTGTTATGAAGTCTATAACCTAGAAATACAATATTTTCATAAAATTGCATATTCTATGCAATATATTCAAAACACTAAATATGATTTCATTAAATATAAGCTTGTTAAAGGTGAAGTCATATATAGGCATATAAACATGAAACAAAATAGTATTTTCCAATTCTATTCATTTGTTTCATAGTAAAACTTGAAAACTATCAAACCAAAACATATATGTATATATATAACTATATATATACAAAAACCAAAACGTGTATGTGTGTATATGATTGAGCTTAAAGTACTAACACACATAATATAAAACCTAAAACTAATTTACCCAAGCTTGATTGGTCTTCAATAAGCTTGACTAGGTAATCTCGCGGATGAAGCTTGAACTTGATCTTTAACTTTGAATAGCAAGGCTTCAACCCGACATTCCGCCAACCTTCTTTGGATATCATCGTTGAAGCTCTATTCCATCCATCCTCCAACAACGTTGTTTGTCTACAATAAATAGATAACACAAGCACTAGATAAACAACATTAGTAATAAATTGTTTGTTAAACATCATCAAAATAAGAAGGCCAACATTAACTCTTTTAGCACAACGTTACGTGCGGAACGGACTTAAACAATTTGCACGCTAGCCCGACTCAAACGGTAGTCGGTAAAGGCTAATCAAACCCGTTGATGGCTGAGAATTTGTCAAAAATTCTATATAAGCGAGTTACTGATGCATCAGCTTCATTAGTTGGTCTCATAACTTGAGCATCCAACGACTTCGGGATAAGATCCATATCTGCGGACGAAACAACTTTAATAGTTGGTTCTGCAGCCCAAAATTTGGGACCTCCACGCTCCAATTCCTTAAGAGCTTAAACTGTATAGTTTGCAGCTAAACTGGGTTAACACCGATCAACGTGTTGCAGCAAAGGTCAACGCCGGACAACGCGTTACAGTAAAGGTCGATGCTGATTATCGATAATTTCGCTAAAATAAGGCAAATAATGATTCCTGGGAGTTCAATCGTATTCAGATATAAATTTCTGACGAAGATGATCAGTTCAAAGTCAACTCAATGATACAAGCTAGATTCAGAAACTTTCGCATCAATTTCAGTTCGAGATTTCGACAACGGTCAGACGATAAACACAGCGCCGGAAGAACTTCATCTATTCGACAAAACACTGAATAGACAGAACGCTGAAGAAGTCAAGAATTGAAAACGATCCACATGTTCTTCTACGCAATCTCCTCGATAAAATACTGAAGAGGTTGAAGACAGGGCCTATCTTATCCAAAGCATTCCAGACTCCTCTATAAAAGAACGAGTCTGAAATACTTTGGAGGGGGTATCTGTAGGCGTCTAAAAATGCCTATGGGTGTTCGCACATAGCTCGAGACAGAGAGAATATGACGAACGGTATTATCCTAGTCTAAGAGGATTATCTGACGTCGACAAGCGCATGAAGCGAAACAGCAAACCGAGTGGCCTGCGCACTCAACAGTCAGTTGCGCACGTTAGTTAGCCCGTGTGCGTCGGTCAACACACGCGCGTCAATCAGCACGCTCACGATAATCAACTCGCGCACGTCGGTCAACGCAAGCGCGTCAATCAGCTCGCGCGAAGTGTAAAGGTCAACATAACGGATAAATACGCCACTTTGACCCGTCGCGCTGTTTTGACCCGAAAACGCATTTTTGACGGTTTTACGCGGTTTTCTCAGGATTTATCTGTTCCAAGGGTTCTTAACTGTCTAGATATCATCTACAAACGTGGTTAGACCGTTATTAACTGAAGATAAGGCTAAATCACTTATTCTCATCCACATACCCACATCCGGAGCCCTATAAATACAAGCCTAGGGTCTCCTTTCAGCGGGGGGCGACTTATTATCAAGACGAGAAGGTCCTGTCGAACTCCAGAGCCAAGAGTCACAAATTTCAACGAGGGTTAGCGAGATCCTAGCGAACTCCAGCATAAAGAATGAGCTATTCGAATGATCTGAAGCCCTATCCCACCGTTCCTTGAGATTACGCTTGGTCTTAATCTCGAGAAGAGTATTGATTTCGCTTGGTCGATCTCAGTGCTTCAAATCAAATACTCCCTCGGTGAAGGCGAAGCTTTGCCCAATTTTTCATCAACCGGATCCAGATCTAAAGCGGTCCACGGATATCAAAATCCCTGGCACAGGCAAAGATCCCGCACAAGCAGAAGACCGATAAACTATCTCTATGCGTTTGTTTGATAAAGTTATAAACTTTTTATTTTTATTATGTAAGGAGATCTTATAAAAAGATTAACTTTTTATTTTATTTGAGTTTATTGTAACGACCAAAGTTGTAATAGATTCAATGACAATAAAAGCAACTTTTGCACCAAACAGTGTAGAGTTAGGGCTAGCAATAACATTAGGATTATGTTGCGCGCAGCGGAAATTTCGACAGTATTTCGACAGCACAACAAGAGAGTCGGTCGCAATAGGAATTCCCGTTTCACCAATGAAACAAGAATCTTAAGCAAAATATCTCAACAAAGTAAAATATCAGCTCTTTCTCTCATCAGTTCTAGGACTGACCTGTCGAGGGAACCTAAGTAAGCTATTACAAATCACACAAATAGCGAGACAATCAATTTTACGTGGTTCGACAAATAGCCTACGTCCACGGGGTAAGGAGGGGAGAGATCTACTATTAGAGGGAGAGAATACAACTAGGGTTTATAATCTCACAACCTAAACCCTCAAACAATCTCTCAAATCCCTCATAATCTCTCTCTCAAAAGAATGCAAAAGCACTCTCAAAAATCGGCACAAAATACTGCTCAAAATCTCCTCAACACAGTCGACACTTCTTTTCTTCTGCCGCTGCCTGCGCTTTTCTCCTGCAGCTGCAAAAAACAAAACTCCTTGCACGAAGCCAATTTCTCCCCTCTGCCTGCTAAAAAAACCTAAGAGATAATAAAAGCTATATACATACGTGCCGGGTCTTCGGGTGGGCCATTGCCTCCGCGGAATCGAAATCGAAACCGCGTTCACGCGCTTGCCTTTGCACTAGCGTGGGACCTGCTCACGTGGGTGGGTGGCCCCCACGTCTTCACAGATTATAGCAAAGGTTATCGGCTATTAGGGTTAGGATCAGGGTATAGCAGTGAAAGTTTAGTTGATCATCTTTATTGTAATCTAAACCTAACGCTAACCCTAACTCTAAACTGCAACCTTAAGCCCGACCAAATTTAACAAAACTCCAAGTAGCAAAAAACAAAAAAAAAAAAAACAAAAAAAATCAAAAAAAACAAATGTTATTTATCACTCTATAACTAAAATTATTACAAGGTTAAATGTGTGGGTACGGAAATTCATAGTCACTGGTCTAATTACACCATAACACATGACAGCGAAATATAATATCCTTCTATAAATGAAAGCACCTGCCATCAATTTTAATAAATAATGTTAGGGGCACACCCCCTAACACACCACCAATCACACCCCCCTCTCTCATCGCTACAGTAAACCGGGCCCCACATGGGATTTTAACATTTTTAAAATCCCATGTGGGGTCCGGTTTACTGTAGCGATGGGAGAGGGGGGTGTGGTTGGTGGTGTGGTGGGGGGTGTGCCCCTAACACCACTCAATTTTAATAATCTTCACACATTATGCTTAGTTGACTTCTCTGGTTTATATATAAACGAACGCCAGACATAACCAAGTCACATTTAGAGGAACAGAGAAGAAAGCTCATTTAATTTAGATCTCAACAGGAAAAAGAAAGAGAAGAGAATAGAGGATGGAAATGAGGACACAAGAGGAGCTTCATGGCATTGTGATAATTGGTGGAGGCATTTCTGGGCTTGCCACTGCACTTGGCCTGCACAAGTAAATCTTTAATCCCTATCTAATCTATATTATGATGATAAAAGTACATACTTAGTAGAAGCCTAATTACTTTCAATGTTTCTTTTGACACAGGAAGGGCATGAAGAGTGTAGTTTTGGAGAGATCTGAAACCCTAAGAAACACGGGAGCTGCTATTGCTTTCTTCCACAACGGTTGGCACGCCTTCGATCATCTTGGGGTGGGAGATCAGCTGCGCGCAAAATCTACGCTTATCACAGAGTATGAACTATCTTCTCTTTTTTGTTCTTCCGTTCACATAGCTAGGTAGTCATTGTCATTGTCATAATTGTCTCCACAGTCTAGATCGTATAATATACGCGTGTGTATGTATATTCATACGGGACTAATAAATGCATAATCATGGTTTTCAATAGTTCTCAAGTTTAGAGATCCATGACATTTGAAATTTAATGTGTTCACAGGATGCATACTAAATGGGTACACAAGGATGGGACAGGAGACGTAATACCAATCGGGTATGTATCGTCAATCCATCCCAATTTCAAATTAGCATTTTCACTGTTACGTCGGGTGCGCCCCAAATTATATATGTTTTAGCAAACATACCCGCCTATTTTCGTGTTTTAGCGAAGAAGGGCTTCGATGCGTGAAAAGAAGTGATATCGTCGACGCCTTGGCTGACAGTCTGCCTTCTGAGTCGATCCGATTTGGGTGTCGAATTGTAGCAGTTGAAACCGATCCCGTTACCTCCTTTCACGCTGTCCATCTTGAAGATGGCAGCGTTATGAGAACAAAGGTACGTAACAGTCTCGAAGTCGTAAAACAAGGACTCAAAAGCTTGATATCTGTTCTAGCTTGAACTTGAGGAAAAAAAAAAGATCTGCTATTTGATTGTTATATTGTTCATCAGGTTCTGATAGGATGTGATGGCTCAAACTCGGTCGTCGCAAAAACGCTAGGACTAAAGCCACCAAACCTCTTCCGAACACAAGTGGCTCAAGCCGTTACAAGTTATCCAAATGGACACGGCCTCTCCAATCATTTCCTATATCTATGGGGAGACAAACTGCTACTTGGGAGAGTTCCTATTGACGAAAAGACAGTGTACTGGTTTGTCGTGCAGGAAGTCAACCCAAAAGGTATTTCTCATCCTAAACTCTTATGTAAAATTAAATTTCGAGTTCTACTCTAAATGTTATGAAATACAATTAATGCTAGATTTTGAAAGCAAAGAAGATTCGAGAGTCGTCAGAGACCTAACAGTAGAAGCACTCAAAGATTGCCCTGCAGAGGTGGTTGAAATGGTGAAGCGCTGTCGCTTTCCCTACATCGAATCAGATATCATGCTCCATGGCACTTGGCACTCAGTGATATCTGTGAAGGGACAATGACTGTGGCTGGGGATGCTACACACTCGCTGGATCCGGCACTATCCAAGGAGCCGGTACTGCTCTTGAAGATGCAGTGGTGCTCGCCAGATGCTTGTCTCAAGAAATGCCAATCGGTCTGTCAGAAAGCAAAATGAGCGATCAAGAGATACAGATCAGAGCTGGAGTGGCGTTGAGAAGATACGCAAGAGAAAGACGATGGCGGATTCTGCTATTATCAGCTAAATCTTACCTCTTAGGGTCCATCCTTTGTGCTTCATGGCCTAAGAGGTTCGTATTCCTCATCATTTTCTCTAAAATCTTGGGTGGCAAGTTCAGCCACACAAAGTATGACTGCGGCCATCTTTAGAAATTGTAGGAGCTTGTTTATTGAATAAAGTACATGGGTATGTACATGAGTTGGAGTCTCTTATGTAAGGGCACAGTGAATAAATCAAAACTTCTTAGTTGTTGAAGTCATTTAGAGTTTAAATTTTTTTTCCTACTTCTGCCGCAATGTATAATAATGATAGAGCTTCTGAAGTTGGTGGACTTCGTATGAGGTTCTCTTTGGGAATGCAATTACTGGGTTATATATGCTTTTTAATAATGAGAGGAAGTGTAGTCTAAGTTGTTCCTGTTGGATCTGAGATGGAACTCTGGAGGGAGATGAATATGATTGCATTTTATTTCTCCATTTATCACAGATAAATATATAGTGAGAAAACAATTGATAAAACAATCACAACACAAACAATTAAAACATACGAGATTTTTATAGTGGTTCGTAAAATTAATCATCATACATTAACTCTTTCTTCTCGTGGAGGGGCTTCCTCTGTATGAAACAGTTCTCTTAAATCACAAACTCAATTCAGTAAGCGTAAAAGACCGCGCACTAGTTTATCCCGAGTTAGTCATCTAACCTAACTCCTCACAACGAGTAAACCAAGCCCTAGCTTGAGAAGTAATCTTGAATGAACAGCTGAGATTAAAATCTAAAAATTAGGAATCACTCGATTGACCATCAATGGTGGCACTTGACCATCGATGGTGATGTAAAACCATCGATGGTCAATGACCCATCGATGATATGAACCTCTTTAGACTTTTGCACCATTGATGGTCGATAGCACCATCAATGGTCCTAGGGGATCATCGATTGTCTATTTGAACCATCGATGTTTCATGTCATGAAATCAACTTTTAAGCTGATTTTGACAGTTTTTAGGGATTTATGCATTTTGAGAAAATATAATAATAGATTGGTGGGTCCCAACATGAGGATACTTTAGGGATTTAGGATATTATTTAACATGATATACATGAAAAATTACGATTAGGTGGCACTTCATTAAGGGTATATATTTTCATGATGTCCTTGTTGGGAATTTTACTCTCCCCGCATACGACAATCTCCACAACTCGGAAGCCAACCTACAATCAACAAGATAGAAAATAAACACAATTAGGAAGAAAGAACACCAAGATTTATGTGGTTCGGTCGACCAACTTTGACCTACATCCACGATGCTACAATACGAGAAATCCACTATATATCAGGGAGAACTACAAGAGAAACCACTCAACTCTCGTCTCTCAATCTCTTAACCTCACATATATAATCAACTCTCATATTCTCTCCAAAGCACATTCCTAACAATCTTTTGAATGGACGAAGACTGTGAAACCCTCTCCCAATATTGTAATCTTTTACACGGTCAAAGACTACGAAACCATCGTCTCTCGCACAATATTCTTGACTTAGGATACGCCCTCTGCTAGCCCTAGATTACAATAATATTGACTTTCTCTCCTCTCCTTAGTTTTTCCTCCAATAATAGAATAATATATATAGGGAAACCAAAACTCTATCCCTAGCCAAACTTTATAATTAGAATAGGATACAAACTCATAATCATGATGAGACTCAATCACCTAATCATGATAGGTCTCTAACACTATCTAATTCTCATGAAGTTATATAAAGAATCAAAGACACAATCCCAATAATCTCCACCTTTGATTTGATTCCTCACATCGCTTGAAGATATATCATCGTCGTCTTGAAATTTTGTCTCTCACGCTAGTGTCTTCTATTCTTTTGCACTTTAAATCGAAGTACATTCACTCCAAATCAAAACACCTACACTCCAACTGGGACGTCCCGTGACCCTCGCTATCGTCTGCCTCACGGTGGCACCTCTACCTCTCTTGTGTACACCAAGAGATCTTTACTACCTCTAACATTAGAAGCAAATCAACTATGTTTCTCCTCCTAAACTAAACTTGACAGTAGCCTTCCCCCACTTGTTATCCTCGTACTCCACCTGCATCGCTCGTTTCGAATCATATCGGTACACTTCTTCTACTCCACACTATGAGCCGGATGCCTCTATCTCTTCCATCACTTGGTTTGGACCGAATATGAGCGCTCATCGTCTTCAAGTCCAATGCCACCATTTTCATCTCCATGTATGTCACTCAATCGTGTCTGATTGCAAGCTCTACCTAATCTGATATTGTCCTCCTCAAGCCTATACACCAGCCAAATCATGTTCCTGCGATGACTCTGAATAATTATATGCTAACAACTCTACTGCTAGAATCACGTCTGATTCTCTACACTAGTCTCATTCATTGCATACTCGTTTGCCCTATCTGCCATTAGATATGTCTCGTTATCACCATCATAACTTACCAGCATTTCTGACCAATATGAGCAAAATCTAAAAAATCAAACACTCCCATCGCGTTCGGAGCACTCCAAAACCTAGGAATCAATGCCTAGATCGTTGAAATCCGCCTCCAAACCTCAATCAGAAGACAAATTAATTTGTACCGTCGGTTTTGATTTAATAATTTTTAACCAAACCCTCACCCACGTGAACAATATTGCCGTCGCTATAGCACCTTTTTTTCTTCATCTTGATTCTTGTAACGCCGCCGACTTCACTTTTGTACAATGTCTATCTTACAAACTCGATCCCGGATCCATCATCATTGCTCTGATATCACTTGTTGGGGATTTTACTCTTTCTACGTACTACGATCTTCACAACTCGGAAGCCAACCTACAATCAACAATATAGAAAATAATCACAATTAAGAAGAAAGAACACTAAGATTTACGTAGTTCGATCGACTAATTTCGATCTACATTTACGGGGCAACAATATGAGAAATCCACTATGTATAGGAAGAACTACAAGAGAAACCACTTCAACTCTCATTCCTCAATCTATCAACCTCACATACATAATCAACTCTTATATTCTCCCAAAAGCTCACTACTTACAATCTTTTGAACAGATAAACACTGTGAATTCCTCTCCCAATATTGTAATCCTTTGCACAATTAAAGACTACGAAACTATCTCCTCTCGCACAATATTCTTGAATTAGGCTACGCCATCTGCTAACCTTAGATTACAAGAATATTGGCTCTCTCTCCTCTCCTTTGTTTTTCCTCCAATAATAGAAGAATATATATAAGAAAACCAAAAGTTTATTCCTAGCCAAACTTCCTAATTAGAATAAGATACAAACTCCTAATCATGATGAAACACAATCTCCTAATTATAATAGATCTCTAACCCTATCTAATTATCATGAAGTTATATAAAGAATCAAAGATACAATCGTAACAGTTCTATGAAAAAAATTATGGTGGTTGTCCAAAAAACAACTATAGTTTATGATGGTTTCATAATTAAAAAAAACACTATTTTTTTTAACTAAATAGAATAATTATATGGTTTGTAGTTTTATATTGATTGACCAATTATTTGTCTATGAAAAATTCCTTTCCAAGTTGAAGCTCTAAAAAAATGACATTCACAAATCTCAACGAGTCTGCTCCCCCATGAAGAGAGCACGATGCACGTTCTTGCTCCATTGAGTTGTTGCGCATCGACATTTCTATTAGGCCCATCAATTCTCATAAGTATTTACAAATAGTTCCCTTTAATTATTAATTCTATTTTTTATTTGAAGGTTTAGTTTTGTAATAACTTAAAAACTGGGGAACCTAATAGCACTTTCAATGATTTGAGGGACTGAATCTTAAAATAGCATAAGATATCTGGACCTAATAGCAATGTAATTGATTTAATGAGACTAATTTCAAAATATGAAAGATTTAAGGCAATATATAGGGAAAAAAAACTTTTTGTTTATTTAGTGGCACTTTGGTACCCCAAAATGTGGCCACTTTTTTCTTTGATGTTGCAAAGTGTTTTTCTAAACCTTGGTACTCCAAAGTTTCCATCCAATTTTACTTTGATACTCCAAAGTTTCAAGCGCGTTTCACTTTCACACCTCGTCCAAATTCTATTCGATTTTTTTTGTTAAATTTATATAACATCTTTAGCTTGTGATTAACATGTAATATATGTGGATCCATTTTATCGAGTAGTTAAGCATGATATAAAAAGTTCGTTTCAGAATGTTTTTGTTCTTTGATATACCTTTCTATCAAGGAACGTACGGTCGAGACGAGATGAAGGAACAGACGAGACGAGACAAGACGAGACGAATCGAACCAGACGAGTCGACAGCAACCCAGCTGAGACCCCGAGACTCCGAGGCCCCAGTCGGCAGGACGAGACCCTAGCCGAGACCCCAGTCGACAGGACGAGATGACACGCCTCAGTCGACACGAAGGGTGGTGTTAGTCAACACCTGCCAGTCGACTCGTCCCAGTCAACACGAAGGGAGCCAGTCGACACATGTTAGTCGGCTCATGTCCAGTCGACACGAAAAGCGTTGCTACTCGCCACGCTTCGTGTCGACTCAGATTTCAGATTAGGAAAGAGTTCTTTTTTGATTGTTTTCTTTTAGGATTTGGTATTTTCCTTTTGGGATTAGAGTTTCTTTTTTATTAGAGTTAGGATAGATTTAGTTATAAATATTAGTTCCTTTTATAAATTGTGAATCAACTTTTCAATTATTCAATCAAGAGAATTTTTCTCCTTGTTTACGTTCTCAACTTTAAGAAACTTAGAGCTTGTGGATTCAAACTTGTGAATTATCTGCTGTTGTCAGGGCTCGTCGGCATTGGAACGATATCCAATTGGCCTCCCCGTTTTTAAGTCTGTGTCAGTAATGTTTTAGAAATATAGAACTTTCTATATATCGTATGTTTACCATTAACAATAGGGGTAAAAGCTTGGATCAACTATAATGGTTTAGTAGCATTTCAATAGTGTTTGTATAGTTAAATCAACTTTAGACTAATTTAAACTAGTGCCCAATTAGTAGTAGGCTAGCAGCAGCAGGTCTGTCACATAACTGAAGCCAATTATACATCCATGTCACGTGCCTAAGGTGGGTCCCACCATGTATTGCAGAAATGAAATTGGTTCCGCAAACCAAGCGGTTCCGCAAAAACACACAGGCCCTTCGGCTTTTTTACTAGGGGTGGGCAAAAACCGAAAAAAACCGGTTCAACCGAAAAAACCGTCCGAAAAAGCGGGCCGGTTAACCGAACCGGATTAACTGGATGAGAAGAAGGCTCTAAACCGCCCGAACCGGATTAAACCGGTTTGGATCCGGTTTGAACCCCTGAACCGCCCGAAAAAAACGAACCGAATTCTCTAATATAAATAGTTAAAAATCCCTAACCCTACCTCCATTTGTCCCACAACACCGCCTCCTCTCTCCAGATATCTTATTTCTCTTGGAGGACTGCAGTTTCTTATTAGGAGGCTAGAACTGGGGAATTTGGAAGAAAAAATACGCATATCTACTCTCTTGTTATGCTGTACCAAGGCAAATGACTTCTGCAGGAACTACTTGGCGAAAAATATCAGAACATCTAGTGTCCTTGCGCTATTACACTGTAAGCAATTTAGTGCAAGAAGTAATGCAGTTGCATTGCTTATTGAACTAATTTGTCTAAATAGGTCAGTTTGCATTCTTAATTGTTTGACATTTATAACATAAACTTTTTCAAAATAACTTTTATTTGGATGTTGCAGAAGCAATTCATTTATTAGTGGCTTGCATACGAAGGATATCTTAAACACAATGCAAGTACTTCTGTATCTTCAGGGTGCGCGCCCTGAAGAAAGAGTCATCATTGCTGTTCTCCTCTTATATTTTGATCTAATGGTGTGTTTCCATATCTGATACTTCTATGATTTATTTATATTTTCATGCTGTGTTACATTGACCATTTCAACTCTTAGGGAATTATCAAGTTCTTTTCATAATTAAATTATGTTATGACAATATATGTTGGATGAAATTATTGACAGACAAGATAAAGACAAATTATTTACCAAGTCCAAGATCCATATTTCTTGTTTTCTGAATTTTACTAGTCACAAAGTTTTCCGAATTTCGGCCCAAAACCGATCCGGCCCAAAACCAAAATGGAGTTAATTCAGTCCAAAACCGAAACCGATCCGGACCGATCCGAATTTCGGTTGGGCCGAATATTCGGATGAAGTGAAAAAAATCTGGATCTGGATGAGAATTTTAAGAATCCGAAAAATTCGGATTGGATGCGGATTGGGCATAAAACCAAACCGAACCGAATATGCTCAGCCCTATTTTTTACTACATACTGGTGAAGGGAGCGATGCACGTGCTCGTAGGTAGGCCAGTTCAAAGGATTGGGATCCTCTACTGATGCATAGTGTTTTCTAATATCTTCTAATGCATCTCCACCTTTCATTGCATAGTACCTCCTCGTATTTTGTGCTTATGCACAAAATGAAAGGTGAAGATGCATTAGGAGATATTAGGTGATACTATGCATTAGTAGAGGATCTCAATACCAGTTCAAAGCCCGGGCCGTGCATTTTCTTCTTTTTTCTTTTTTTTAATTAGATTAATTTTATTATATTTATATAAGTATGTATTAGTATATACTTACAAATTATTATATAGCTATATATTATATGAGAAATATGGGTATCCTTGGTAACAAACACAAATTTTGTGCTTGGTAGTGAGGTGGCACAATCTCCTCCACGCATTCAAATGGGGGACCACATTCACATGGGTTGAGGAGTGCATGAGGATATGCAACCATTTGAATGAGTAGAGGGGATTATGTCATCTCACTACCAAGCATTACTTTTTGTACTTGGTACCAAGCATACTCATTTTTCTTATATTATATATACATATATTATATATAAATATATCTTATAAATTATAACTTGAGAGAGAGAATCACATACGTATATGTTACTTATTTATATTTCGATGCAGCTGTGTCTTTCATAACTTCTTCTGTAAATTTGACTCAACCAATTAACATGAGCATCCTCCAATGCATGCAATTTTTAGAGCGTGACTCTGTTATTAGGTGAAAATTAATGAAGTAATTGAAAATGAAATGAAGTCGGCACGGTTAAATCTTTAGTTTTCTTGCCGATCCTTCCGTGATGTTAGAAGGTGTTATTAATGACCGTTAAATGTGACGGAATTAGGTCAAATACCCGTTATACTCCCACTTAAATTAACTCAACCCTACTTTCTTTCTTCTCCAATAGCCCCATGCTCCCCCAACCCCAAAATTAAAGTCATTCCTATGGCTAGCTTCCCTCTAAACCCAAAACTTATGAGTAAAATGTATACCCCATGGGTAATAATGTAACTTGAGTTATTGGGTTAAGCATTAACTCAACTAGAGTTAGAGAAGTTAACATTTTTTTCTAACAGAATGACCATATGGCAAGAAAACTGAAGATTTATGGGAGTAATAAGCAAAAAATGAAATTTGAGGTACTATTTGGTAATTGGAGCTGATTTAAGTGACTAATATGCAATTAACCCTTAGGGAAAAGTTGGCTGTGTAGAAATTATTCCATGAAACGAGAAATATATTACTGAAATACCCTTCATTCATTTTCATTAACTTCCAACTAATTGACGATTCAATGTACGAGGGCATTTCCGTTGTTTTTTTTTTTTTTTTTTTTTTGCACGTGAATGTTGTTTGTATGATTTTTCGAAGTGTGAGGGCAATTCCGGGATTTCTCATCCAGTCATTCCTGGTTGAAAAAGCAAAAAATGTGACTCTGGCAGGGAGAACACCAAAGAGTCTCCAAATATATAGTATGGATAGATAAATCAAACCTTCTGGTGATAATTAGGGAGCACAGTAGTTTTTCAACACTTCCCTTGCAAGATCTACAGCGCCGCTCTTCTTGTAAATCAAATGTAAATTGTACGCAGCCTCTCTATGAAGATTGCAGTAACCTGGTTTCCGATCTTCAGGAACTTTTGGATCCTCATTAGGAAGTTTAGGAAGGGGGTAGTCCTCCTCTTGTATTGTAAGCACCTTTTCGTAGTATGAAGCAGCAAGAGTAACCAGACCCACATGATGATATGCCCGTGCAACGTTGTACACGGCTTCCTGTAAAAACATTACATAACATGTTTCAGTGATCCAAATTATTACACCACAAACAATAGAGAAGCCTAATAGTACTTCTTGCACCGCTAATGCGGCTCAAAGCCAGACCCGCAAAATCCTCATTAGGAAGTTTAGGCAGGTTGACGGTACAGATGAAGTCTACATACATTCATGTGATTTTACCAGGGAATACAACAATTCCCATTTGCTATAAAACTACATACTGGACACAATTTGTTCAGGCCAGAATGCCAAAGCATTTCCTGGCTAGCTCGATAACAGCCTTTCTTTGGCAATTTCTTGATAAAATAAGTTTGCTATAAAAGAGTTATCTAATACTTATCACGACGTTGCGTAAAAGAATATGCCAAAGGTTTACAGTACAGATAAAGTCTACATACATTCATGTGTACATACATTCATGTGATTTTACCAGGGAAAAAGAAAGAGACGCAAAAAAATTAATAATAAATATAAACATGTCAACTAAGGAATTTTAAAGCACATCAGACCTGACTATTGTTGCAGATGCGCAGGTAATTGTAGAGGAATGCAAAAGCTTGCACAATGCACCAATGTTTGTTCTGAAGTCTAAACCCAAGGGCTAAGTTGACTAAAGCGGTCCCTGCGAATAGAGAAAGAATAGCATACTTATCTCAATGCCAAGATAACAAAACAAAACAAAACAAAAAGAAATTTTTATGCCATACCAACACAAAGATTAATCAGTGGATTCTCTGGCTGCAGTTTATAAGCTTCCAGATATTCCCTTGCAGCTGCTTGATGCTGGCTTATGGCCGTAAACTGATTCCCACTTATAATTATAGGAGGTGCACAATCTCCAAGCTTCACACGCATGCGATGCATAAATTTTCCATGCTTTGTTAACCGAGACTCTAATCTACAAGAGATGGGAAGTTACTGCATATTAGCAATATCAAAAGTTATCATAAAGGGGGAAATGAAATTTGGCCCCCACTCAAATCGGCCAACTAAGTGATAAAAACAGAAAGAAAAAAATAGTGTATTTTCTGTAACTCTCAATTTGCAAGAAATAGCAGTGCAAATTAGGTTCTGTTCGTAGAACGACAGTACAATGGAATGTGGACACCTAAATTGGCCTACCAAGTGATAGAACAAAGTAAAGTTTGGCAAATTTTTATGTAACACTCAAATTACAAGGAATAGAAGGGCACATTAGGTTCCTTTCCAGAGATCGACTTCAGGGACGAAAATTAATTCAGATTCAACCATAAAGCCATTATCAGTTGTTACCAAAAATGATAATTAGCCTAATCAGCATAGCATCCCACCCCGCCCCCCCCCCCTAAAAAGGAAAAAAAAAACCAACCCCTCAACACACAAAAACCTATACAAACACACAAGTATACATGAAAAATAAAGAATGTACATGAGGTGCTAGGTCATGTTGCAAAATGAGCTACCAACAAGATATATGCTAGCGTGGAAGTCCATATTGCTAGTCGCGTAGAAGTAGGTGCATGTCACAATTACTATCTCTAAGTCGCTCATTTTGCTAACTGAGGTGGTAAGTCCCATCTAGCATCCCACATATACATACACACATACATTATCATCACATCCTAACCATCGCTTGTCCGATTCTTTTGAGAAATCCATGTCAGGAAATACATATCATTTAATGAATGTATATTGCATTCTGTGTAAATAGCTAAATAGGCGTCATTGCACCTTAATTCCTCTGCAGTGTATACAGATAACAACCAAATAGAATCAGCATAAAAATAACTGTAGGAAGTTCACTTAATTAACGAATAAACATTACCTTGAAACAACCTTATAGTAGCAGTTCCATGCAGCTATGCTGTAAGGATGCCTCTGTACTATATATCGAGCATAATTGTATCCATGTTTTGGATCTCTAGTGTTGTATGCAATTTCTGTATTTCGAGAAGAGAATGAAAACCATATCAGTACGGATACCCTAGTTTTGATGTTTTTAGTGTTAAAAAAGAACAGTTTCAAATCATGTGTCATTGTATGAGTGCACCATTTAAGAGAATGAAAACCATATCAGTACAGATACCCTAGTTTTGATGTTTTTAGTGTTAAAAAAGGACAGTTTCAAATCATGTGTCAGTGCATGAATGCATCATTTTCTTATTTTATTTCTTTATCTACTTTACTGACATTCTGTGCTTATTCACTCGGAAGAGAAGTGTGGTCATTTTGCATTCAAGGATAATTTTGTCAATTAGTCTTTTGAATCTCCTTTCTGCGTCTTACTGCTTTGATTCTCTATATTGTGCTGTACCACCGCCTTATATTTCGAGATCAATGTAATTTAAATTTAGCCATTTGCCCTCTAGGATTATCCTAATCAATTCCAATTTGAGTCATTTGGAACCTCAAGGTACTCATGAAGCATGACCTGTTGCATCCATTTTGCAATTAAAGATTTGAGTTCTTGAGTCAGAAACAAGTCCTATTTTCAGATTTCAGGAAAGGGATAGGGGCTCAAATGCAATTCTTGCATTCATGAGAGGCTGATCCATCACTGTGCCATCATCTTCAGAACTCAAGATTTTGATCTAAATATCGTGTTTTCCATTGCACTCTCAAACAAACCAAATTGGAGATAAACCTCCTACGCTAATGAAGGGCCCGTGATCATTTTAATTCCAGATTGGAAGTGATATGCTAATTTATGGATCCACTCAAAACAATATCAAGTTCGTAAAGTCCAAAAACTTCTTGGACTTAGTATTGCATTGTACCAAACACCAGTCATAAGCATTTGCTCAACAATTTTTTTTTCCAATGGTCAAAACACTCATCTTTAAGCCTGCAACCAAATCTAAAATTTGGAATGCCAAATTTCGGGATAAAATGAGACTTGTTGCTCAAGACTCATCGTCCTATAAGTAGGGCTAGCAGAGATCAAAGTAGAACCCAAAAAGGGGGGGAAAGGAATAGATTGGAGAAAGTCAGAGCTACTTGCAATCACCCGTTTAAACTGATTTCCCAAATGGCTGTGTTTCTTTTTCCCTTTTGTTTTAAGATCCCATAATTTGCTTATTTGTCGGATCATTTGCATTTGCATTTTCAAGAATCATCATACTTAACTTTGCATGATAATTTTTCTTTCTGTTTATTTAACCACTCATCCAACCACTCTTATACAGTGAAACACTTACAGCATCAATACTAGCAAGTCTTTTGTCTATTTTAAGGCATAACAAGATTGGAACAGATACTACTAGCATACAATGACTAATCATTTTTATTCGTTTGCTTTTCTTGCTTTATTTATACATGATCAGGATTTTTTACAAAAAAGAATGAACCAGATCATTGAGTAAGTTGTGTAAATTTTACTGGTAACTACTAGTTCTCATAGAGGTGCCTTGCAGCCATAATAGCAGGTGGCAATTGCAGGCTTGAAACCACAAGAGATACAGCAGTCCCATCTTTTGGTGAATTTTTCAGTTTCCACAGCGAGATATACATTGTAAATTTTCAGTTAATACAAGTGGATTTGATGATATAACGACATAAAGCTGGGCCAATTTTAGGTGAATATTCAGTTTCCACAATCAGATTTACATTACCAAAATTCCAGCTAGAAAACAGGTGAACTTGTAGAGAGAACAACATAAATCCATATGATATATGCACATTAGCAAAACTGAATGCATTGAAAAAATGTAAATAATAATTGATTGCAAAGTACAGAGAAGAATATGGATGAAACTTACGAGCACCCAATGACCGAAGCTCTTCTTTTTTCTCGACTGATAATGCATTGTCTGCTAATTTCAGAGTGAGATTAATAATCTCTAGTGATTCCAAATAGCGACGAAGGGACACTAGTGCTTTGCAGAGCTACACAAAATTATGACTGATTAAGGCAAAATTGTACAGTTATAACCACAAGAAAAATTCACTTATGGATTCTTTAGGGTCGCATATATGAATACTTTTTCTCCGTTCAAACAAGGTAATTTGCTTTACTAAAAGCATCTATGTTTCATATACATAACTAGTAACTTGTACAAAATGTACAAAAGAAAAAGTACAAACTGTTGTTGAAGAATACCACACATCCCAATTCCTTAAAGAATGTTAGCAAGTAAGGATCATGTATATAATTTATAATAAATCAACAAGTAAAAGTGAAAACCGTTCATTGAGGAATTCCACTTATCCCAATCCTTCAGGGTTGCTCATATATACAAAAAATACTATTATACAAAAATGTTAGCAAGTATGCATCCTTTTCACTGTTGAACTCTACTAGGATCTTTTTTCTTAATTCATTCCCTTTCTCCGCCAAAATATCAACTCACTATTATACAAAAATGTCTACCCAATAAACTGGAAAAAGTTTAGGAAGCACTTAACTGAAGTTATAAAGAAGAGCTTAATAACTGGGATCATTGTCAAATTTATCACAGTTCTCATTCTAACTTACCAACACTTAAAAGTTAGTCCAGTTCTGATTTAAATTGACTGAAACCATAGAAGTTTTATTTCATATCCAGTTTTACACCTCAGTTTATCCTAGATTAATCCTATTTCTAGTTTCTACTTCCAATTCCTATCTACCACCATGCCCCCTACACACACACACACACACACCAAACAAATAGTTAGCTTGCTGGTTTTACTTCCCAGATGACCAATTCCATTTCACAGAAAATAAAATTGATGAAAATATATATTAATCATCAAACAATTTGTAGAATCTGAAGGAGGTCTAGTAGACTAACATCTAGTATGAATTGATGATTTTCTTCATCTTGTAAGAATCCTGGCAGAGGAGGTTCTTCTATAGCATGCTGCAGCTGAAATCCAAGAAAATCATATACATAAGATTCATGTAGAATAAAAGAAGAGTGCTCACAGAAAACATAAATACTAGAATTAATCACCGGAGACTCGTCTTCTGAATCTTCACTTAGCCAGTCCATCCCTGAAGCTATAACTGCTGCTTTTTTCTCTTCCCTCAATGCCGCCTTCTTTGCAAGTAGTTTCTTTGCTCGAGATGCCTTAAGCCTTTATAGAAGGAAAGAATGTAGAATAATTTGTATGTTACCATTGTAATTTTCCTCACTCAACAGCATATGAGAGTCACAACATCTTTCTCCATTTTCCTTTCACACTAATAGAACTTTTGTTTTCACTTTGCAGTTAACTCCATAACTAGTCTAGAATCCAGAAAGAAGATAAGGGGATTAACACTTACAGATCTGAGTCTTTGGCAAGTGGCTTCAACTTATTGAACACATTGTCAGCCTCCCGGTCCTCCAGTAACTTGGCTCTTTCAGATAGAACACTTCTTGTAAGTCTTTTCCTACTGTAAGTTGTGTTTGCCCTCTTTCTCAGCTTTTTATTAGTTTAATAATACAATCAGGAAAAAATAAGTCAAAAGACTGAAGAAGCCAAATCAGAGTATGTATCTCCATGCATTAACTTCAAATAAAAATAGAGAGATTGAAGGGCATTAAACAACATAGTCAAACGAGAACTAATTTCTAAGCATGCATGTATAGTGTACACACTAATAATTTCTAAGCTAATTTCTACAAATCTGCAACAGCCCTGACTTTTAATAGCTAGAAGGGAAATTCTGAATCACAAGCAACTTATTAAGATCTAGAAGGGAAAATCTGAAGGTTAATGCAATGGATTGCACCTGTGATCTTTAAGAAAAATACCTCGTACTTTAGACATAACCAAGGAACTGGGTGAGACCTCTGTTAGTTCTGAATCACAAGTAATTTGTAAGAGTTTGCAGCACAGAGGCAAATTCCAACAAGTGCCTTCACGAAGAGAGATTTATATATAAAGAGATAAGCCTAAGAAGTTAATTTATGGATACTTCTACAGCTGTCCTGAAATGAAACCAAAGCCATATGTCTTATTTTGCTAGCTTCCATCTCAGTAAGCTAGTGGATTGCAAAGTATGAAACTTGTGTATCAAGTATCAACTGGAAAAATAGATACTTTGAAATGCCTCTTTAGATAAAGCAAAGATTCGTGAAATTTTATTTCTACTGAAGAATCGTTGGATAATAGTTCTCACTGCATGATCAGCTTCCAGGGATTACTGTCAGTTTCTAGCAAAGTAAAAATACTAAAAGCAAATGTGTGCAACTTCTAATTTAGTGTGTGTGTGAGCATGCGCATATACGTTGGTGTGTGAGAGAGAGAGAGCAAATAACCCATCTGAGAAAAAACACAGAGATGATACTTTGACTTACCTTTCGATTCATAGCTTCAATAACCATAGTTTTATGAACGATTGAACGAATTGTATTAACAAAGTCCTCAAGCATCCCCTTTGACCTATAAATTTTGGCAAGTTGCATTTTGACTTGCCCATTTAGCCACCAGGGTGGGGCATTTGCAGAACCATGACTGGAGATTGTTCCTGAGAAGAAGAGAAATAAAGAGCTGAAGAAAAATACCAACAATAAAGCTACCAGGAAAGAGAGCCACATTCTACAGAGGTTCAAACCCCCAAAGAAGACAGTCAGACATTAAATACCTGAGCATTTGGGAGTAGAAAGTAATGTGATTGCTTCATCTTCTTTATCTTCTTCAAGAAGAATGGAAGATAAAGTTACACGAGCATCAATATGTTCTTCATCTGCCGATAGAGCTGAAGGGAAAAAAAATCAAGCAAAGTAAAAAAGTAACCACCTGACAATAGAATAATAAAAAAATGTAGTCACATGCTTTCTTGGAAGAAGATAAAAAAGACAAACTGGTAACTCAATTACATGTATTCTCTCAAGTAGTTTTGGCACATCTAAAACATCCAGAATTATCTACCATTAAAGAACTAAAAGACTTGAAATACTCGATGACGGAGATCTACAGTATTCATCTCAAATAAGAGTTGACTAAGTTTTACATGGCTTGTTGGCCACCAAATGCAACCTTCCTGCGTCACGGTTTGGGAAGGCAGCAAAAGGATAGAACATTGACCACACTGTTAGTGCAATTACCCTATACTCAGTTGCTTGATAAAATAGAAAAGTCTTGAAAACCTTTGTAAAAGAATGGAATGGCTTTTCCTCTCTCCTTCAGGGATATATAACATTTAGCAATTTTTAGATGTAAAGAAACCTGCAGAAAGAAAGAAAAAAAACACGTTTTCAGGAAATGAGTTTCAAAATAATAATAATAAAAGACTTGGAATTCAAATAATAACATAGCTGAAACAAAGAGGCGAATAAGGCTTAGTGACGATGCTCTGTAACTTTTCCACACGAGGGAGTCCGCCAATTTCCTCATTCTTTATTAAAAATAAGCCCTGGCTTTAAAAATTGTGGTTATAAAACATATGATAAGGCATGAACTGCCTAATCTCTTATTTCAAAATTCTATATATAGTGAATACGAAAGAGAAAATTAACAAGAAATGTAATGATGTGTTTCAAACCTTTTAATCTTTCAACAGGATTCCTCTTCCTCGCCAATGGTTTTTTACTTTCTCTTAGTTATCATTATACATACAGAGCCTGATCTTGCTCATCAAAACCTTTCACTCACTGCTTGATACATCCACCCATTACAAGCATATACCAAAGTCTCTCATTGATCATGGGAACAAGTGAACAATGCAATTTAAGGTACTGACAGCACCACGTGACAGGAAGGACGAAGGTTAAAAGGTATGCTTCTGTTTGTAAAGCCATGCAGAAACATACAGAAATAAGCTTGCAACAGACTACAGTTAGAAAGGCTCATGACGTAATGATTCCTGGTTAAGGTGATTGATTGACAGAACTATCTACTACCTTATGTTATGCTACTAGTCAAGAAAACTATTTAAACTATTAAATCCTTCTATTGAACCAGATCTCAAAAGCCATTGTGAGGGTTATAATTATATTCTAACATGCCCCTGCAAGCTGAGCGTCTTTTCATGGGCCGAAAACAATGGTATCTTTTTCTATCATCCTCTTCGCCAATGGAATTTGAACATGATTGCTCTGATATCATATTAAAATATTTTCTACTGCAGCAAAACTCTGAAGTTGTGTTGAGGGTTGACAGTCATAATTTTATATATTCTAACAAAAACTATAGAGAAGAGAGAGCTTGCTACATCCATGAGTTCGCTACATCCATGTAGGCCAGTGGTCACTAGGAACACCTATTTCACCTTATTGGATGCCTGCACATGTGACCAAGGAGCAATCCTCCAAAAATTTTCCTCAGTCAGAAAAGATTCTAGAGAGGGTGGAAATGATAGGTTTGGTAGTGAGATATTTCTGAGGCCTGATACAAGAAAAGATGCAAAATGAAAAGAAATCTCCAAATGGATGGACTACACATAATTATATAATATTAGTTAACAAAGTGAATGACAATGGCTATTAGCAATTGATATGCTCAAGTTATAATAATAATATTTTATTTATTTATTTTGCAATACGAAAAATAGGAAGAAATATGGCACTTCCGACAGAAATTGATGCATCCAACAGATCAAAAACTGATAAATACGATATGCCAGTATTGAAAGTCGGTATATTTTTTGGGAAAATAAGACGTAAAAGCACAATGGACAGACTTACATCATCATAAGCTCTAGTCTTTTCAAGTATAAAATAAAACTTCAAAGCATAATCGTAATGACCAAGATCTGCAAATGTATCACCAACTTCAGTGATCAAGACATCCTTATCTTTAGCTTGCTCTGTTTGCATGTCCTTGAGGAGAGCCTAAAAGGATCAGACAAGAGTTACTATTTCATGCACAAAACATGGTGCTTTAATAAACAAAACCAGTGCACAAAGTGTATGGTCAATTTTTTCTTAGATAAGTCCATGCGACTTCAATATTATAGGCACGAAGATTGTGCAATCACTCAATGCATCCAACCCATAATATGTGACCACTAACAGCCTTGAAATTAAATTTATGAGTTAAATCTTCTTTCTTGCTTGTACTAGAAATAATGATATATTCAAACATATACCATAGTCAGAAATGAAGCAAACCTCAGCATGTTCAAGATTTCCAAGATGAGCATGGCAAAGCACTGTTTTTGCTTTCAAGAATAACGGCACTTTTTTTCTAGAACCATAAGCTAGGCACGCATGATCAATGTGACGAAGTGCCGTAATGTATTCACTGTTTTCCATTTGCAGATTAATAAGCAGGTCAAGAATAGCCTGATCAGCTTCACAACGATGATCATTCACAAAATCCTCTAGAATACTGACAGCCTTGTCCAGCATACCACACTTTTGGTACATCTGAAAAAATATATATACATGGCAGAAACTTGTTAACAAATGTCTGATTTCCGCATGCTCTACAGCTAAAATTTAAGTGGTAAAAGAAACCATGTTTACAATTTTTAAGCATAATGAATCTACATAACATGATAAAGAATATGAGATTTTAGGATACAAATTCATAACCAATTCATATTTTAGATTAGTCCCAAACAAACCCATAGTCGAATATTAGCTCCTAAATAATCAGCTTTATTTGATATGAGTCCCTCTGTTATGACTGTAAATTAACTTATTTGACATTGTTGATCTAACTCCTCTCTCCATTACTCTCATATATTCTCTTATTTAACTTGAACATGAGAAAGAAGGGTACCAACTTTGACGGACGCAACCTTGTTTCTAACAAGGTGCAACCTCATTTGCGACGGCAATGGCCCATTTCTGATGGAGGTGCCACCATTAGCAACTAGTGCAATCCGTCAAAAACCACAATGACAAATCAACAATATAATTCCAATGACGCCAAACCCCCATCTCCACTACGAAATTTTGCAAGTTTGAGTCCATTCTTCTGGTGCAAATTGTTTTTTAATTCCTCTTGTTTCAATCTTTTGGAAAAAAAGCTGTTGCCATCCGTACAACATGCTTGTATTGGCTTCAACTCAATTAGGCAACTCAAGTAGGAATTCCAATTTTAGAGTATTTTTCTTGGATGATTAGTGGATAGATTGCCAAATGGCAGCTTTCATGATCCTTATGCTGAGGCAGAGGACAAAAGTACAATAGCAAATGGTTTGTACTGAAATTTTTGCAAGAAACTAAGTACGTTCTTTTGGACATATAAGATGATGAGGTTACTTATTTGAAAAAGTCAATATAATTGTTGTTACAGTAATCATAGCTAGTCAATGTGTCATTTATTTCTAAGAAAAAGTTGATAAGGACAAGAAATAATTTGATAAAGCAGTGAGAGAGATTGAATAAGCAGGGGGGGAAAAGGTAGGGTAGTAGCGTCAAAAATTGTATTACAAGTAACTTTAAAAGAGTATCTTACTGTTAGGACAAGGTCGAACTAGAGAGATCTTTATCAGGGAGCTCCCATTTTAAGAATTAATATCCACATGGAGATTTGTTGTGGAAATATGAATTTTGTCAGGGACTTGAATCCTAAAAACCCAGAACATAAACAATAACTCGGGAAATTGGCTATAACATTTAAAACATTCAGATGTTAATACATGAAGTATAAAATTAACACTTAAATAGGATCATCTGAAAGTTAACTTCATGGAAAAGAACTTAAAAAGGTGACACCAGGAAGGTTTCAGGTAAGATCGATGAGCATGAGTAAGTGAAAGAGGATTAGGTGAAGATAATAACATAAGCTCAACTGAGTCAAAGGGGCCAGGATGCTTCCCTTGTCTCACAAAGGAAAAACAGATTTAACTGATAAAATTATTGGTTTATAGACTTGTAGTGACAGGGACATTATGTCCCAAGTTCTTACTAGAACAAGATCAGCCTAGAGAGAGCTTAAGGGATACTCTGCGATAAAGATTGACCTACGTGTGAATGGCGAAGACCCCACGCCCCACGTGAGCAGGTCCCACACGCGCAAGCATGCGAAGGCAAGCGGAGCAGCAATCAGGTAGGACCCACCCACGTGCGTTTCCAGTGGGTTTTCGAGTTCGGTTAGCGGGTTTCGGCTATGATTTTTCAGCCTGGATTTTTTCTGCTATAAATTGGGATTTTCTTAGGGTTTCGGCTGAGCAAGTGCAGGAGGTTGGGAAAAATTTGTTTTTGGCGGCGGCTTCGAGCAAACGAGAGCTGCGTGCAAGATTTTGTTTCGGCTGTGGGTAATTTTTCGACAGAGGAGAAATTGCTGTGGAGAAGAAAAGCAAGGAGCCTATTTGAGGGTTTAGATTGTGAGAGTTGTAAACCCATTTGTATTCTTTTTCTCTCTAATAGTAGATCCCCCTCCTTGCCCCGTGGACGTAGGCAGTTTGCCGAACCATGTAAAATTGGTTGTTTGAGTTTGTGGCCATTGTAATAGTTTTTAGGATCCCTCGACGCGCAGTCCTAGAGCTGACGAGAGGAAGAGCAAATATCCCACTTTGATGGGATATTAGGCTTTCAGATTCTTGTTCCCTTTGAGAAATAAGAATTCTTATCGATCTTTCTCTCTTATTGTGCACCAGAAACTCTGCCGAAATTTTCGTTGCGCGCAACAAGTGGTATCAGAGCTCGGGCTACGCTTGGGCTATTTGGATGAGTAGATCAATTTGGAGGCTCGTTTAGGACTTCGTTGGTGATAAAGGTGGGATCTTTTGGTAAAGACTCTATCTTTCAGTTTTGGATCTATTCTTTGTTCGTTGGTGCGTAAGATGTCGGGGAAAGAAGGTGCTTCGGGTGTCGAGGGTGGTTCTTCTGGCGCGAAGACCATTCAGAGTTTGAATATCCACTCTATGAAGATAGATGTGGAGAAATTTAATGGCACAAACAACTTTGGATTATGGAGATGCGAGGTTTTGGATGCGCTGAACGCGCAGAATTTGGAGGATACATTGGAGTTAGATGGCAAGCCAGATGAGATTGAAGAGAAGGTTTGGAAGAAGATGAATCGAACGGCGTGTGGTGTGATTAGGTCTTGTTTGACTCAAGATCTAAAATATGATGTGATGAATGAGACTTCTGCGAAGAAGATTTGGGAGATTCTCGAAAGCAAGTATTTGACCAAGAGTGTGGAAAATCGCTTGCATTTGAAGAGGAGACTTTATCGTTTCCAGTTGAAGAAGGGAACCTCCATTAGAGATCACATGAACCACTACACAAAGCTTCTTGCGGATTTGGCGAATGTGGATGTCAAGATTGAAGATGAGGACAAGGCGTTGCTGTTGTTGAGTTCCTTGCCCGACGAGGAATATGAGACCTTCGTTCTTACTCTGATTAATGGGAAGGCATCACTTTCGTATAGTGAGGTCACTGCTGCATTGGTGAATTATCAGCTTCGGAAGAAGGATAAGGAGAATTCGACTGAGTCGGTAGCAGAGGCGTTGGTCGCAAGAGGGAAGAATCCGAACCGGAAGAATTGGAAGTCACAGTCTAGAGTAGGGCATCCTACAATTGGAAAAGATCAGTGTGCTTGGTGCAAGGAGACTGGTCATTGGAAGAAAGACTGCCCAAAGCTCGACGAATGGATGAAGAATAAGCAGAAGGGAAAAGGGAAGCAACCATCATCAGAAGCAAACATCGTATCGGATGGTAATAATTCTGACTCTTCTATTTATTCGCTTTCTATCAGTCCTACAGATAGCTATTCGGAGGAATCTGAATGGATGTTGGATAGTGGTGCGACCTATCATGTGTGCCCTAGAAGGGAATGGTTCTCCAGTTTTGAGAAGCTGGTGGATAGTGGTGTGGTGTACATGGCTGATAACCGTGCATGCCAGATCCTTGGGATAGGAAGAATTCGCATAAAGATGTTTGACGGGACTGTTAGGGAGTTAAATGATGTGAGATATGTTCCTTCTTTGAGGAAGAACTTGATCTCGATTGGAGCTTTGGTTGGAGAGGGTCTGAAGGTTCGTGTTGAGGACATGGTTCTCGAGATTGCGAGAGACTCTCGTATTTTGATGAAGGGCGTCAGGAGAAATAACCTGTATTACTTGACTGGAGGTATAGTGGCAGGTGAAGAGCTGACGACTTCTGTTGATTCGACTAGACTGTGGCATTTGGGGCTTGGCCATTCCAGTATTGATTCCTTGCATAGATTGAAAGAGGGTGCAAAGACCTGCAGTTTGAAGTCCAGTGAACATGTTGATATGAGCAAGAAGACCGAGGTGAAGTGTGGCACCTCTATTCACCGTGCTAAGGGTCGTTCTGGAGGAGTTCACGTGGATGTTTGGGGGCCTTCCAATGGGGCATCATTGGGAGGTAATAGGCGTTTGGTTTCCTTTGTTGGTGGCTGTTCTAGGCGTGTTTGGGTTGCAACCAAATCCCCATTGAAGAAAGTCCTAGTAGTCTCTAACAGATTGAAGAAGTGTGTAATAGACAGAAAGGTGAAGGTACTCCATTCTGGTGGGAGGTACAAGATGGACCTGTTTCTGCATTGGAGCCGAGCTCACGGCATTGCGAGACACTTCGTTGGAAAAGAAATCTTGGGACAACTAGATAAGGTGACAAATTTGGAGAACCGTGCCTTGTCGAGCAATGGTTTGCAGAAGAGTTTCTGGATCGAGGCTTCGACATATTTGGGTCATCCTATTAAAGAGTTGTCAACTGCTGTGATTGGAGGTAAAACTCCATTAGAAGATAGGTCTGGTAATGTCACTTTGGTTGAGGCTTCGATGAGGGAGCCAATTGACTCTCAGCAGGTGGAGAGTTTTGGACAGACCTTAGAGGTATCGCAGCGGGTGGAGAGTGATGCTACTCCACATTGGGTGAAAATTACTCCAGATCATACTGTATTATTTGGGATTCCAGCTGAGGTGACACGGCTTGAAGATCATTTGGTTTTGGATGCAGATGATGAGTTGGGTTTTGAATCGAGTGTAGCTGACAAACATAGTTTGGATATGGCCATTGATTCGCCTCAGGTGGAGGTGTTTGAGGCCATTGGAGGTGCTATCAGCCGCAGAGTTGATGATATTAAAGGAGGGTTGCGAACTTTTCTATTGGATTGAGGTCGTTGGCGGCCATTTGGGTGAACTACGTTCGGCTTGATTCCTTGGGCAAGAGGATACGTAGGCAGTCATTATGATGCAGCCGGGTTGGATGTTGATGGGGGTGAAATCGATTTGGTGAGTTGATACTGACATTTGGAGAGTGTTTGCATTCTCATTTGGGTTCTCGACTTGTTATGGATTGAGTCTGTTATCGTGAATTGTTTCACGGTGTACTTGACACAACAAGTGAGACATTTGGTTTGGTCGGTGTCGGCTCAGTTTTGGGAAAACTTCACCGAGGTGAAGAATTGTGAATGGCGAAGACCCCATGCCCCACGTGAGCAGGTCCCACACGCGCAAGCATGCGAAGGCAAGCGGAGCAGCAATCAGGTAGGACCCACCCACATGCGTTTCCAGTGGGTTTTCGAGTTCGGTTAGCGGGTTTCGGCTATGATTTTTCAGCCTGGATTTTTTCTGCTATAAATTGGGATTTTCGATTTTTGGGAGAGAAAAAGTATTTGGAGGCTGACCTTTTCTTGAGAAGAAAAGCAAGGAGCCTATTTGAGGGTTTAGATTGTGAGAGTTGTAAACCCATTTGTATTCTTTTTCTCTCTAATAGTAGATCCCCCCCTCCTTGCCCCGTGGACGTAGGCAGTTTGCCGAACCACGTAAAATTGGTTGTTTGAGTTTGTGGCCATTGTAATAGTTTTTAGGATCCCTCGACGCGCAGTCCTAGAGCTGACGAGAGGAAGAGCAAATATCCCACTTTGATGGGATATTAGGCTTTCAGATTCTTGTTCCCTTTGAGAAACAAGAATTCTTATCGATCTTTCTCTCTTATTGTGCACCAGAAACTCTGCCGAAATTTCCGCTGCGCGCAACACTACGTACTTCTGGTGTGCTATATAACTTCGATACAAGCAAGTTGGATCTATGTAAAGATAGCTGCTCTACATTTCACAAAGGTGCTTGGAAGATATGCAGATATGGCTGTCCAAGCTGAATTACCTACTGGTTCTTATTTCATAAAACAACATCCCCATTGACAAAATCCTAATGATGGTAACGTTTGACCAAAATTAAAGTCAATTTGGAATGGCATATCAATACAAGAGCTTAATAACAAGATGTAGCTCAATATATAGCTCCATTCACTTATTTAATAGTTATTAACAGCTTAATTTATAGCATATCATATGAAAATATTATTACCTTCGCAGCCATCTTGCGTGCTAAAATGTTGCCAGGATTAAGTCCTACTATTTGGCTGTATAATCCTGCAGCTTTCTGATACTCCCCAAGTTCAAAGTACAAAGCTGCTAGATCAAATCTAAGGCCAAGGTCTTTTGGATCAGCAGTTATTGCCTTTGAAAGACAATACCTAACCTGGCCAGTATTGTTCTCTTCACTGCATAAGAGAAAAATAATAGTTAGACCATGATAATTTCATACTCTCCTTATTTTCAGGTTTTTTTATAAGGTTTTAGATTCCCAATTTAAACATGTCATGTATATCAACCATTCAACAAATAGTATATACTTCATCCACACAAAAAAAACCTAGATTTTAAGCTGATAACACAAGGTACATAAACAAGTACATATTAAGGCGCGTACAGACAAGCACAGATGATGGGGAGACACTTCAGCAATCCCCAGATAGCTAATTATTGGCTACTTAATTCTATCTTTTGCTGGCATGTTTCCTCAAAAGTGTCAATCATTATAGTTAGATTCTTCAGAACTTCGCCCCTTACTAGTGTCCTTAACTACGATATCAAACATCAATCTGTGCACCTCATTTAACTCAGTGCAGTGTTTAAATGATAATCACAGATATACTAGTTCACAGCCCTTATAAAATATATTGGAACTACTGGAATTATACGAAAAAGTTTCCATAAACTGTGTCTGACCAAAAATCCACAGTAAATTTAAAAGCATTGCAATAAATAAAAGTGATTAACAAGAAAAAACTAGGTTTTTGTAAAAACCTCCCCATCAGGAGAACAACTTCACATCATGGAAACGGACAATAAAAACAAGGTAATTTGTCCAAGACAACCCAGGAAGATGCTTGAGAAAAAAGAATTAGGGTTATCCTTTGTAGAAGTTATACAGGGTTAAATTTATATAAAGAATATAAAGGATATTAAAGCAACAACGAAAGGGAAAAATTGGCATCACAGCTGTTTCCAGAAGAAGAAAAAATTTATCAAAATACAAAAGTCTCACGCTAAGGGAAATTCAATCAATCCAAATCAAACACAAATGAGGAAAGACATATTTGCAGAAAGATAGTATGCATTTTTAAGAGACTACTGAAGATCAATCACCATGCTTATGATATTAACAGAATAGAGAATAGGACAAACATTTGAAATATGATGAACAAAGGTAAAGATGCATTTGAAGAAAGATCAAGTGGTGCTCACATGGACCAAGCCACAAGTTTTTTCCAAAGAGAAGAATCCTTCGGTGGCAGGTGAGCAGCTATCATATGGAAGTTCAAAGCCTTTTTCCTGTCACCCTTAGCATCATATATAAGGCCAAGCATATAGTATGCATCAGGAGAACATGGTGCAAGACGAACAATCTCTTCCAATAAACGAATTGCCTGCAAGAACATCAGAAACATCAACTTCCTGGGAACCAGATATAGTCCACATTTAAAACTTTTAAATGTATCAATATTACAATGATGCAGAGGTAAAGACATGTCTCATCCACTTTTTTTAGAAATAGATAGTCATAGCTTTAATATTTAATTCTTGAGAAAGATTTATAAGAGACAAATCAATAGGCAATTTAAACACCAAGCATAAAGACTTAAGAGACAAAAAATTTATACAGGAAAAATATGATAGGAAAGTTGACATGAGTAGTCCAAAAGAAATAAGAGAAAGGTAACTGTGTGTGTATGTGTGTGAGCGTGTGTGCGCATGTGCGCGTGTGCGTGTGCATGTGTGTATGCGTGCGTGTGTGCGTGCGTGTCTATATATATATAATCCCACACCTTTTGGTTTAACTCCTGGAATGATGTTATGAAATTAGGCATCAAGGAAACAAGATCTCAAGAACCATCTGCTATATGCATTGGAGGGTCCACAACTCCATGAGAACTATACCAATTGAGCATGAATTAACTATACAGGCTCTCATTCTCTGAGGAAATCGATGGAATGCCATAGAAAAAGAGGTGGATATTAATAGGCAAAAATACAGCACATGGAATAGCCGGAACAACAAAATGGTGGATTTTATAGGAGTGCCTTGAGATCATATGCAGATTATTTAAGCTACTGCAAGGAAGAACAAAGAGCTCAACCATGAGCAATAGAAATCAGGCTTATGTAATTGCAGTAGCAGTGGAATTCAACTATACAGGCCTATGGGTATATCTTGAAAACTTGTCCTACGTCAAACTATTATGCGTTCAGGACAAGGATTTGCATCTTGCAGACTGCTACTGATCTTTGAGACAAAATCAAGAAAGCTAAATTGAAATTTATGGATAGGAGAGATAAGAGTTAAATCGCTCCAACCGAGAGTAATAGTGAAATATCTTAGAAGATGTAAACAGTAAGGTATATCAGTTGCAACTATAAGAAAATGATGTGGAAAAGAATTAGATCAGAGGATGTATGCTTTGCTGTAACCACATAAGGATACGAGTTTGAACAAAATTTTAGCACTGGTTCCCCAAGTAGCATTTTTTTAGGAATAAAAAGCTATGTGGCATCAAAACAGTCTAAGGCAAAGTTAAAGTTTCTTCTTTGTTTCTTCTTTGTTTCCTTTTTATTAAAGTGCATCTTCTTTCATCTCTTTCAAATTCCCAGGTAATACAAGGGTCAGGACAAAGTATTGACCACTACATCTGCAATTGTAGTGCATAATATGAATATACTGGTAAACAACAAGAAGAGGATAGTATGCATGAGTATTCCATGCGTCATTCTTAAATATCTATGAGGAATCCAACCTGCATAACCCCTTTCTCTCTTCCCTCCGGAGGGCTGGGAGCCATGAAGATTGAAATAATTCATTAGTTGAACTCGGCCATAAAGGACACATACTAATCATGAGATGTACCAGTCAAATAGTATAATCTGTTTACTTCTAACAATAAGAACTGCATGATTAAAGAAGAAAGAAAAATGCTGGTTAAAGAAGAAAGAAAAATGAAGATGAATTATGCTTTACTATGACAGAACTGATCATATGAAACCAAGTAAAATTAGATTGCCAAATGCATTATTATAAGAAAAATGAACCAAAAGTACATATAAACAATCTAAGTAGATGACAATAATGTTTTGAGTGCCCCAGAAAATCTAACTCTAAGTATGGCATAACAAGCGAGTTTTAATGGCTAAGAAAGTTTAACCTCATCATAATTTTCAGATGCATAATGAAGAGTAGCATCGCCAAGTTTTCTAGCAACCTCAGGACTAAGTTTATTCTTTGACCCTTTCTTCCTTCCCCTTTTCTTATGCTGCAAATATAGACATAATAAAAAATGTCAGCTTCCAGTATAGGAAAAACTAGAGAAAGATGCTAATCATTAGCTAATTCTAGTCCAACCAATCAAAGGGACTTGACATCGTCAAATGTCAAACTGATGTTGCAATGAATAGTAAAAGCATTACGGGATTGTCAAGGGACTTTTTTATGTATGATTTACAATTTAAAATGCTAAAAAAAGCATTCCGGTCTTTTGGATCAGCTGCAGGGTTCCTTTTACCACTAGTCACATACATCCAACTCCAAACTTAGTAACACAAGAGCTTGATGATTTAATGTAACTGTTGATATAGAGGAATTACCTAAACATCATAATTAAAATTTTAACTATTAAAATATTCCATATTCATTCAGTACTCAGAAATAATGACCTAACCTTCTTTGATCTCCTTCGTCGACCAAGATTCATAAATTCATTAATCACTACCATTGCAGCATCCTCTTCCTCTCTAAGCTTCTTTGCTTGCTCATCACTAATCACAAGAAAATTTAAAAAAATGAGACATTTAATATACTCAATTCTATCTGCATATTAAGAAAGGATTAATTGCACTTCAACACCCTAAAGTTTCATCAATTTTAACTGTGATACCTTGACGTTTAAAGTTGCTCAATTAACACCCAAAATTTTCACCCTTTTTAACTTTACTACCTTCCATTATATCACCGTTGAATTTTCCGAAAAGATCTTTTCTCTTCAACGCTTCCTTTCAATTTAGGCTTTTCCTCCCAATTTCCGTTGTGAATGTAGTTAAATAGGAGTTACTTCTTCACAGTTCAATGTCAAATTTTAGTGTATTATAGTTAAACTTCCTAATATTTTGGCGAAAATTTAGAAATTAACCCTAAAAAAACTAAATTTCTCACAATATTGGTTCTTTCGAGAGACTTTTACCGAGTACGGGGATCTGAAAGCGCTTTCCGCTTCCTCTCAGCTAGGGCTTCGTACTCGAGCCGCTCAAACTGCTGGTAGATCTCGCCTCCGTTGGATGAATCTTTTTGGGCGAAATCGAGGGGATCCATCTCGCCATAGAAGTTCAGATTGTAGCCCTCGTTAACGTCTTCCTCCTCTTCTCCTTCTTCTTCCTCCTCCTCCTCCTCCTCCTCCTCCTCCTCCATCTCGTTGTCGTTCTCGAGATCGTCATCGATCGCCATGGCTGCTTCATTCACGTCCTCTTCATCCATGGCTGCTTCGAGCTGCACTGTTGGATGTTAGCGTTTTTTTTTTTTTTTTTGAACACCTGCAAATTTTTCGGGGTGTTTTCGATTTTGCTTGGTTAAATATATATGGGGGACTTGCATATTAGTCCCTTACATCATCTCTAATTGCCAACTAGTTCCTCACATTCTTCTTAGTCCTTTAATTTTTCAGTTTCCTTGCTATATGGTCCTTCTATTAGAAAAATTGTGAGCTTCTCTAACTCTAGTTGAGTTAATGCTAAATTTTCTAACAACTCAAGTTACCTTATTTCCCCTAGATACACATTTCCCTCCCAAGTTTTGTGTTTGGGGGGAAGCTAGCCATGGGAATGACCTCGATTTTGGGTTTGGGGGAAGCATGAGACCATTGGAGAGTGAGTTTGAGTAAGTGTAGGTGGAGGTATAATGGGTATTTTACCTAATTCCGTCGTATTTAACGGTCGCTAATAAGACAATCTAACACGAGGGACGGATTGGCAAGAAAATTGAAGATTTAAGGGACTAGTACGCAAATAATGAGATTTGCGGGATTATTTGGCAATTAAAGATAATTTAACCCAATATATATTCAGGGTGTTTTTCTTCTTAGTCCCTTAATCTTACTGTTTTGACTTAGTCCCTCAGATCAATGAAATTATCATTAGGTCCCTCAAATCTTAGTCCTTCTAGTTTTTTGCCATTTGATTTGGATGGCATGATCCCTTTTTAAGTTAAACTTTTTGACCGTTACTTTGCCCATGCGCATTTCGGAAATATGGTGTTTCCAACCTCACGAGAAAGTATCCAGTGATGACGAATTTCGAGGTCCAATAATCTCACGATTGACATTCATGTAGTGCACATTCAATATCATCGACCGGGGACCACTTAAAATCTAACCAGCACGCATTTTATTTGAGGGACCATATAGCACTCTCTAATAATTTGAGGAACAAATTTAAAATACTTTTGCTATTAGTAAATACTTCTGGTATTTGCTCTCCTTGTATTCCCCTATATTTATACTCTTCCTCTCTCTGCTCTGTATTGTGCCGCGATAGTAGAGATTAGTAGGCACAAGCGTACTATCAATGGCTTACACGGTTACACCAGTTGGCCAGTCAACGTCCATGTATAGGTATTTTGTATAGGTATTTGGGGACACGCCCCGCATAGGTATTTCGTGTAGGTATTTCGGGACACGCCGCATACAGGTATTTCGTGACACGCCGCATACAGGTATTTCGTGACACGCCGCGTCGCAACATTCAAACGTCCGTTTAAAAAACAGGTCCTTGGGCTAATCAGCACGAAACACTAGTCTCATAGGAGCAACACATGCATGATTTTATACCAACTTATAGAACCTTGATGAGGGGGGGGTGTTGCTTCATATGCTTTATAACAGTCGTAGGATCAAAACCACGCTATAAAATTAAATACATACGTCGAAATGTCCACATACAAAACTCAAGCACCAACATCTAGTACCTTCCTACTTTCATACCCTACAAGAGGTCTTCAACAAATCAACCCGGTTCTAATATTAGCTTAATGTATTGGAAATTCAGACACAAATTGAGTATTTACTTTAGGATCAATCACGCATTGTATCTAGATCAAAGGTATAATGTATAGATATCTCGAGCCCCATCCATTATAGAACTCCGAAGCTGGAGGTCCTGCTGTTCTTCAGTTGACAAATCTCCTTTCTAGAGCGAGAGTGAGTACGTATTCACAAGGCAAAGGTTTGAAGCAGTTAAAAAGTCTTATAACCCAGTTTTCGCACGTTTCATCCCTGTGCTGTTGAATGGAGACGCACTAGGACTCATGTGAGGGCTCTCTTCTCTTAGAGTACCGTTCAGAATTGCCAATTCCCTCAGCTGCTGTTTCTTGTAAAAATCTGTTGATTCGTCCTGTAAAAGAAAGTAACCGCTTGAATAATTAATGAATAGAGAATGAGATAATATGAAAGGAAGGAAGAACTGGAGGTACTGTTATTTACCACAGGCTGCAAAAGTTCTTCTACTATCGTGACAGCTTGATTCAGTTGGAGATCTATAATGTCTGCTGAAAACTCGCCCTCTACAAGCACGTGCAATGGCTCGTTAAGGTGTTCGTATCCAGGTTTATCTCTTAGCATTTCTTCCTACAGAGATGCCCGAAAATTTAAGAATATTAAGATATTATTATTTGAAAGTTTCTTGGGGGAACGAGAGTCTCATGATTTGTCCTTCAAATTTGCATAATGGGAAGAAATTGTTCCGAGTAAATTTCACAATACCAACTTCGGGGGTTTCGCACAACCACCCCTTCAATCATAGAAAACCTCCATGAACTTTCAATTTTAAAATAGACTGCACTGAACTATTGAAATTTCTCATAAAGAGGATAGAGTAAAAAGACTAAACTTACCTTGTTTTAACTTTTGACCTTCCCTTACTCGAAAAGGGTAATATAGAAGTGATATTAGTGGACAGGAGAAAAATTGACCAAAAGTTGTCATATGCGAAGCACGTGATAACTTGAACTAAATTTGTCAATCATGATACTTAAGCGAGACAAATTCAGTGGGTCTATATGATTTATAAAGTTCAGGAGAGTATTGTGCAAAACACCCCAAAGTTCAGAAGGGTTTTGTGAAATATTGTTCAATTGTTTACCGTACTTATGACAGATAACAATGGCAGAATGATACAGGCATCACTTGTCTTGGGTGATGTACCTGGATAGAAAATATTAAGAATACGAGTATTTCATAAGGATAATCTCAAGCTTTTTTCGAGTCAATTTTGAGGTTTGGTTATGGAGCACAAATTTCTATAGGACGTTGAGCAGAATCTAGCCAGACTATCAACATGATTCAACATTGACTACATTTTAATCATTAAGAGTAGACTAGAATCTAGTTAATTTGCATGGTAAAAGGATAAATCATCCAGTATACACTAATACAAGATAAACCAAATCTTCAAGTAACTAAGTAAGCGACATAAAATTACAAGTAACTAAGTAAGCGACATAAAATTAGTACCTTAACAGAATCCTTGACTGAACCCCGACCTCGTATATAAACTCTGCAGCGAGTCGTAGCTTCCACTCTTTTCAAGGAGTTTCCTCTTGGAACCCCGACCTCGTATATAAACTCTGCAGCGAGTCGTAGCTTCCACTCTTTTCAAGGAGTTTCCTCTTGGTCCCAAAAGACGGCCAACAAAGTTATACTGATTCAAACTTGTAAATTAGTAATCACAGATGAAATATTTGTAAACTACTTACTAAAGTAGATTTGCATACATTAGGGAACTTGTCAACAGGAACATCGAGTCTGACAACTTTCTTAATAACAGGGCTCATAGAAACTCCAGGAGTCCCATTCCAACCAACAGATGGTGCTGGAGACATCCCCATTCTTGGCAAATAACCATTTTCCTGCATATATAATCAACAAAGATAATGCTGCATAACAAGTAAAGGAGGGAAGCTTGACTATATACAAAAGCAAATCTAAGGAATGAAAAAAAGATAATTAACACAGTACAGTAAGGCCTTCAGTTCTAAACAAGTGCAGGTCCTGATTTTTAGTTTCTATAACCAGAGAGCCTGATAAACATTTGTTGGGCTCGAAAAAAATTTCCATATTATCATGGATCCCAAACAAAAATGACGGGAATATGAAAATCTTTAGTCTTCAGGTATTGCTGAAGTAATTAGCATAATCTCTCATGAGTATTAAAGATTCATATCCTCTAGAAATCTGCAACTCTTGGACACATGGCACTCGTCAAAGGAAAAAGAGCATGTCCACAAGCCACAACTTGAAATGTGACACAAAGAGAAAGAGATAAAGGCAAATACAGGCAGTTTGAGACAGAAATAAAGGTAATAACTAGTGCCACTGGTCAAACGTTGTCACATAAGTCTCCACTAGTTTCATTTTAGTAATTGGTGGGTTTTTGACATAAGGGTAATGCATTTGGCAAGCAATTTCCAAATAAAGTATCAGGATCTTTCATTGAAGTCAAATCATCAAAAGATATCCATGTCACCACTATTATGTACCTGCACAGTATCAGTATTTCTTTTTCGAAGAAATTTTCTAAATAAACCCATTCATATATTTTTCTAAAAATAGACCCTCTGAGTTTTATTTACAAAAATAGACCCATTTTTTCTTAATCCGGTTCCTAAATAGTCAGGGTTGCCAACCCCGACTATTTAGGAGGTTGTAAACCCCCAATTATAACCCTAAACCCTAACATTCTATGCACTAAATAGTCGGGGATGGCAACCCCGACTATTTAGAAACCGGATTAAGACAAAATGCGTCGATTTTTATAAAAAAAAACTCAATGGGGTCTATTTTTAGAAAAAAATTATGAATGGGCTTGTTTAGAAAATTTATTCTTTCTTTTTCATTCTTCTGTCTACTAAAAATATTGGATGCTACTACTCTGATTTTGACCAAAAATTACATAGTGGTCCTAATGTATAGATAATATTGATTATGAGTTTTACACAATTTAACTGTTTATACTCCTACATAATTTTCACTGCCAGGTATACTTTGATGTTTAGCAAATTTCATGCTTCTGGCATGTTCTATAGAAACAACAATACAACATCTTTCTGATATCAAATAGACATCATCCGCAAAAATATATTCCCAGCTTTTCCATGCTTCCCTGCATGTACGTTGTTTGATCTTTCTAATTTTTTGTCATCTAACTCCATGTATATTTCTTTTCTATTTGATATTATCCAAATTGCACATTTGCAAGTTTACCACTAAAAATCATGTTTTGAGAATATAAGGTTGCCACTTACATCTCCTAAAACAGCAGCATAATGAATAGACAGTAGATAGCCAAAAAAACCAAACAGATAAACTCCATGTGGATATAAATCGGTCATCCTATCAAGGATATCCTCATTTTTATGCCTCTTGTTGCCATCTAGGAACGCTTTATCTATACAAAAATGGTCATACAGGTGAAAAAGTAAACGGACACAAGCCTTTTTCATTTAGTTTTCCCAGGTTTAAGACAAATCATAAACTAGTAACAAAATAGATCAGCTTATAAACAGTCATGACAATCGGTTTTCGACAATAAGCAATCTAGTCTGCATGAAGAAACATGGAACAACAAACTGACCCATCTTTAAATTGTTGAACAGTAAACTCTAGAATATTCAAGCATCAAGTTGATAGATGCATGATATATAGCTAACAAGTGTCTCACAAGTATAGTAAGTGTCAGACTAAAATATACAAAAAATTTGAAAGGGATTCAATAGAGAATTACCTCTGCTTGCATTCCCGGCCATCCCTCAAAATCCATAGATGTACCACTTAATGTACGGCCAGCCAACCTTAATGGACTCCCATGCTCAATACACTCGGGGCTAACAAAGGTTTGATTCGGTGCTAACCCAGATGCCCGAACAATTTCTGAATAGAATTTCATAGGTCAAATATTTATTACAATAAGAAATTCACGTGGTTACTGACTCCTACTAAAACATTCGATCAGACATGGTACCTTTATGGGCACAATCAGATCTTCCACAATTGAAGCTGGCGACTTAATGCAACCAAACAATCAATGGTTTGGTTCAATTTAAATGAGAAACATCATTTACATAGAATTCATTTTTTGTAGCTGTCTCCGCAATTGTTATTGGGTTTACATAAAATTGCTACAAGGCTATTAATGCATTACAAACAAACCCAAAGTCACATAATAATCATGCCCAAAGCTAATTCCACGAAAAACTCTCTATGATCACTATAATTGAATCTTATTTCTTTTCTAACAGCAGTATAAACAAATAAAATATATTTGAAATATTGATCAAACCCTCCCATACCTTGATTGAGAAGCCTAGCACATAATGGGAGAATTTGAATAAATGGAGCCAGCTTCTGCCTCTCATTCAATAAATCAGCCACATATCTACAAACAAATAACCCCAAAACAAAAGGGAGCTGACATCACAATCCAAGCTATCTATGAAACTAATTCAAGTACTAATAGCCTAAAATCTAAAACCCATATCAAAATCGCATAAAGTTTTAAGCCCAGATGAAGAAATTAATCGCTTGAGTTGAAAAAAATGAAGAAACTTTTATACCTCTCTCTATCAGAAGAGGGCCTGATAGAGTGATGTGGTGATGAGTGGAGTCCTGAGGGAGAGTACTGAAAGAAAGCAGCAGGTGGCATCCTCTCATCCATGCTGCTTCTTCACAACTCTCTCCCCACCGAGGCCCAGCCCTTTTGATGAAAACGCAAGCAAGAGATAGAAAATGAAAATAACGGGGGGCTAAATTTATATATAAGAGAGAGAGAGAGAGAGAGAAAGAAAAAGTTTATTTGCATACTTATCCCCAAATCTTAGTATTTGTAAATTTATCCCCCCATATCTATATACTTGTTATTGTACCCCAAATCTTCTAATAGGGATCTTATCAGAACGGTCGTTATAGGAGTGGAGCCATCTGTATCATAAATAGAAGAGTTATAATCCATAAACTAACATTTTTACTACATGTGAATAGTATAGATCACTATTTTCTATAGGGTATTCTGATAAAATCCTTACTTCAAATCTCTCACATTAGTTTTTACTAATATCCCAAAATCTCCCATATTGGTTTTCATTGTTACTAATATATCTTTTTTAGATTTCTTAACTTTGTGGAGAGAGAAAGAGGAGAAGAGATAGGAGAGAATAAATAGACAAGTATCCCTGTGCTCTCTCTCTCTTTCTCTCCCCCTCTCTCATTTTATTTTCCTTTCTTTCTCTCTATCTAATCGTAAATTAGTAAAACTACATAATTTTCTTAGGAGCATACTAGTGATACTCAAAATTGAGGCATAAAAAACTCAACGTTGTAGATTTGGGATAAATTAGCAAATATCTAGATTTGAATAATAAGCTTCAAATATGATAATTTAGAGGGTATATATGTAAAAAAATCCAAAGTGAAAAAAATATGCATCGTGGTGGGCTGTGTTCGGTTGTCAGTCTCGTTTATCTATTTTCCTACGCGAAAGAGTTGGATTCTTCATATATAGTACTTTCTAGTGATGATAATTGTTTAGTTTTATTTATTTTTTTCGTAGTCATGAAATTGATTGACTTGGGCGAGGAGAGTATGATTAGTTTTTAACAGTCTGGATTTTTTTATACCTTCAATCAACAGCTGTACTAAATGAATCTATCAATTAATAGTTCGGTGTAAATATTGATAATGTCATCACAATATTCCCCAGATTGTTGGGTCACTGGATAATTAAGAAATGGGCGTTAAAATCTGAGGATATTCAGTGTTTTATCCTTATTTTTTTGAGATTTCCGATTTTCACTCGCTGAGAAGATTCAGTCACAACTGCAAGTTTCACTATTGGTGTTTATTCTTTTCTGATTAATACTTTTTGGTGTTTGTAATTGACCCCCGAAAAGGACTGGATTGTCTTTGCCCGTAACGTGTGAATGCGTTGGATGTGCTCATTTATATGTGTCTGATTTTTCTTTAGGGGCTGTTTGGTTCGCTTTAAAACCCCTTGGAAAACTATTTCTTCGCCTCCACGTCAGTTTTTTCTTCTCCACGTCGGATTTTTGGTTTCCGTTGATTTTTTTTCCTCGCTTTGTTTCGCAACGGCTGAAGAGGGAAACCAAAGCACAAATTGCCTCCACGTCGTTTTTTTTTTCTCTCCCCCATTTCCTCCCCCAACGGAGTGAAATCGATGAAAACTCTGGCCACGTTGGATTTTTTTCTTCCTCGTTGATTTCTTCGGTGAGCTAGAGTTACCTCCTTCGCATCGCCCCCGCCAGAAACTCCCGCGGTCTTCTCTGTCCTTGTGTTCGAAGAAATTGGGGGAAGGGGGTCTGATTCTTTGTCCATGTATTCGAAGAAATGGTGATCTCTCTCCTTCTCGCTTCTCTCTTTACATCTTTGATCCTCTCGTGATCTGCCGCCGATGAGAAATTCGACGTCCTCCAACATCTCGCCACAATCACCAGGTTCTCTCTCTCTCTTTCGGTTGATTTTCGTTAGGGTTTTAATTTCTTCGGACGCGATGACCAGTTGTATGCATTTTTATCGATTTGAGATGAATTATGTAACGAGCTAATCTTTTCTCGTGCCCTAATTGGGTATTTTCGAGGTTATTTTGATGATTAATGAGTGACAATTGCCTGCTTGAAACCGAGCTTTTGATCTTCGAGAGGAGCAAATATACATAGAATTTAAGTGCATTGTAGATTGACGTCATTAATTTTTTTTTTGTCAGAATAAGGATGATTTTGGTGTCACGAGCTAATTCTACCCTAAATTTAGAATCATGTGTAATTTGTTCGGAAATGGCAATTCAACCATTGGAGCTGAAATGTAGTGTTATCAAGTTATTGGCACAGAATAAGGAAGGCTTGGGCTTTGTTGGAATATTAAGTTATAACCCTCAACTTTTCACCACAACTTATGGAAAAGAAAAGATACCACGATGCAAAATATGACAGGTTTTGGCCCGAAAAGGGCAATCAACTTGTGGGTACAAATTAGAATGTTCCCTCAACCCTTGCTACAACTATGGAGGTTTTTAGTTGTTGTGGAAGGGTCATTTAGATTACTCCACTCTACCTAAGCTATCCAAAAAAGAGTGATTGAAATTTATCTTTATTCACCAAGCATCCAAATTGACTTTGGGTACGATTTTGTTTGCGCATACTTGTTTTTATCGTCGGTGAGATGTTGCTTCCCTTATGCGAATACAATGAACCATTACACACCTGCACGCGTCTACACCCATTTCGCTTTGCTAGAGACATATACTTTATGCATACACAAGTCCACTAGCACTAGTAAATATATCTTTTAATTTCCCACAATTTTTTTTCATGCAGGTTTGGTTTGCTTTAACAATTGTAAAAGCATGAAAAAGATTGGCCAAACATGATTTATTAGGCTGAGTCATTGAGGCTTTGTGTGTATAGTTATAAAGCATGGTTATATGATTCTCATTTATTGATGTAAGATTTTTTAGGATAGGAAATGCTTCACCCTTATTTTCTTGTTCTTGTAGATTTACCTGTTGATCTTTATTTCTACTTATGCTTATATATGCAGAAACATGTATAAACATACTCATGTGTCATTATAGTGCACACTCACACACATCCTTGGAGTGACTAAAATTCTTTTGCACTCTCTCTTGCAGTAAATATATTAGAGATCACATACACCTCAGGAAGTTGTATCATGTTAACGGAACAACTAAGGTAATGCACCCAGTGTATGCTTCTAATTACTAAATAAAAAAATACGTTAGCATTGAGATGGAATAAGAAAGTTCTTATGAAGGATCATGAGAATGAACCCATGTCTAATTGATGAGATGTTGACCATTGTTTAAGTCAAAGTTCTGATTACTACACAATAATATATTTATATTGTAGTAAGTAGTTATTGGCTTCCATTTTATAATATTACCTTCCATAGTGTGAATATTGTGGTGTACTAACCTTTAAATTAAACTTGTGACTGCAGGATATTTATAAGTCGCCATACAATTTACTAAGATGCAAGCAACCAACAATGTGCACACATTGTACTGGATGGCTATTGCTCTGAGTATTTTGTGAAGTAAGTTTTCATGAAACGAGTTTACATTGGTGACAATTTACTTTTAGGCTATGATGATTGTCATAATATCTGAGCTTAGCAACCTGCAATATCTATTGATATTGTACCGGATGGCTAACAATGATGATATTGACCAAATTCTGAGCCCTCATACATAATCAATAGACAACTCCACATTACTTGATGTTGTTGGTTGGTTCTTGATGTTGTTGGTGTGCATATGCTATTGTCGGTTTGCTTTGTGACCATTACTATCTGTTTGTGTTCAGTTTGGTGTATTCATATGCTGTTTTTATGTTTTTTTCTACTTGGTTTGTTGTGGGCACATTTTTGCCTCTATATGTTGGCTTGACTGGTTGTGTTGTTGGCTCGTTGATTGGTTGGCTGGCTAGTTGTGAGCCTGGTTGTGGGCCTGAACAGGCACATGTTATTTCACTTGATTGTTGGTTGTCACATGTTGTTGGTTGGCTTGGCTGGTTGTGTTGTTGCCTTGTTGCCTGGTTGGCTGGCTGGTTGTGAGCCTTCTTGTGAGCCTGCTTGTGAGCCTGTTTTAGCTTTGGAGGGCATTGAAGAGGGCTTTTAGAAGGTATGCCTACTTTCAATTGCTAAGTAATTAACGCATGGTCCATTTCATGGTCACAATTTCACTTAATTTTGGAACTTCATTTTAGAGACTTATTGGTATTGCTACTGCTCCTAGTCTACTTGTGAATGTATTTCTGTCGGACTTAACTTGACGTATAAGATAAGCTTGAAATTGTAATTCTGGATCTATAGGTCTCTCCTTCGCCATCCTGTAATAGATTGCATTCCCTGTATTTATGTGGACTTGACGGCATATGGCATCGCTGTTTTAGCATATTCGTGTTATATTCTTGCCAGTAGAGATGATATGACTGATGTCATTTGTTGTGATTTTTTCCATTATAGACATCATAATTATGCAGGCAGACTGGGATACTTCCAAAGTCCGAGAGAAATCGGTAATAAGATGTCTGGCACTTGAAAAGCTTGCAGTTTCACTCCACTTGCCCTGTTCATACCAGTACCTTGGTTGTGAGGAGATATTCCCTTATTATAGTAGGCTGCAGCATGAAGAACAATGTATTTACAGGCCATATGAATGTCCTCATCCTGGTTCAGATTGCATAGTCCATTAAGGGGTCATCTGAGGGAGTATTTCTCACTCACTACATGCTCACAAGCATATTTAACATTTTGCAGGTAAAGTGTTATATGCATCAATTACTGTCTAGACTACAGCACTGTCATGAGAGGGGAGTCTTACATCGAGACATTAAGGGGTCTAATCTATTGATAGATAGACATGGAATGTTGAAAATAGGCGATTTTGGCCTCGCCAATTATTTTGATCCTGATAAAAAGCGGCCTCTAACAAGTAGAGTTGTGACCCTCTGGTACAGGGCACCTGAACTTTTACTAGGTACCACAGATTATGGAATTGGAATTGATCTTTGGAGTGCAGGGTGCCTCTTGGCTGAAATGTTTATTG